TAGAATTAATTTGCGTAGCTTGATTTTTTATCGTACGATGAACGTTGCGGATTGACCTCGACGAAATCACGTGGATATAACTCGCGCACACGTTTTCTTTCCTTCTTGACGTTTGCACAATTCGGTCGAAAATGTATTTACGCGGTTGCACTTGAGGCCGTCTGTAGTCTCGACCGGCCAGGCACGAGAGTTATTATCGGGCACGGTTATCAAAGTTGATAGATGATAGCGGGCGGCGGCGCGCTAAATAATTTATGAGGGAACGAGTTAAACAATTTTCACGTCCGGTTTGATCGGCGGATCGTGTCGTCTTAATCTATTTTCGTTGCGTTCGCCTCGCAGCAGAATTGTGCATTTCCTCCTTAACGAGGGAAGCGGCTGTCTCTCGGCGTAACGCACTCGGCGCATAATGAACCTGACACGATGATAATGAGTCGACTAATTTCATGATATGAGCGAGACGCGCTTCGGCTCAACGATGGATCTTCTGCTCATGATCGGGAGAGAATTTTTACATAATTACATCTTTCCTCTTTTGCATAATTACACAACTTGACGCAATGAGAAACGTCCGAAATTATACATAAATCTGCTATCATCCGGTTTTGTAAACAGAAATGAATCAAGCTTTAAAAAACACACATTGAAATACGTTTCGTTGCTTTATATAATTTACCTCTTGTCTCATAACATCGAAATTGTGCGTGTACTTCAAATCGCATTTAATTGGGATTATTAATTACTGCCGCTTCATTCCATTATGAAATTTGGCGCAAGTGAGCGCAGCGATTGGCTCGGCATTGACACGATAAAGGTATCATCGTTCGTGACGATCTCTCAACCTGCCGTTGCACCAGAGCGCTTATTATGGATTATAGATTATCAATAATGAACGAGATGCGGAGCGGACGAGATGGCTCGCGAATAAATAGCATCTAATTACGCTGATTAATGCCCAACCCCCGCGATTTTTCATCAGCTTCGACCACTTCAACGACAATCTTGAATCGATTCGCAAACAGTGCCTAATATCTACCATCGGTAAATCTTAATTAACAAGCTCTTCGAAATAAACGTTGATCGAAATAAAATGCGACGTCAATGACTTTTATCTCTTGATCCTGCATTTTATATGTTGATACTTTTAGTCCTCCAGTTGGTCTTTTACTTTAGTTCGCAATATCCGCGTGTCTTTATCGCGCAAAAATGTCGTTCTGGAATTCATAATAAATAATAACGATTTAATTTCTATATGTAACAAATGGTTTTGCTAAAATATAAAAATTTAGTTAGACACAGCTCTACAAATAATTATATTGGACAATCAAACTGGTTGCTGAAATGTCAAAATTATTTGCAGTATTAGGCTTTTTATTTCCCGCACTGAACTGCTTTTTTTACCCAAATTATGGAACGTATTCATTTTCCATTTCATTTCTGTTCTAAAAATATTCGCAGGAGTCCCAGAAAATTTACATCACAACTTTTATGTCACAACATAGATACACAATTCTGAATTCTTATTCATAAAAGAGAATCTTTTTATAATCTATAAAAATTATAATGAAATCGAAAATATCCACTAGATATTTTGATTTCATTTTATTAAAATACAATTGAGAAACTCAATAAAGCCGCGCCTTTTTTTCTATCTTGTATGGTTTTTTATTTACGAGAAATAGAACATCACTGCATCCATCTAGCGATTATGCCGTATATTACTTGAAATATGCGATTCTTTTCAAATAGAACCTATCGAAAGAAAGACTTCTTTCGGAGTAACTTCGATTTCATTTTATAAGAAGTCAAAAGATATACTTCCATGATATCCTTTTTGAATTATTAGAAAGAAATTCTTTTTGAGTTATAACGATCATCTGTATTATTTGGGAAGTAAAATTTGACACTATAAAAATATTTTTTTTTTTTATTTGTAACTATAAATATCCCGTTTAATTTTCTATCTATTTAGAAACTATTCCTAGAATCCCCAAATTATGAAACGTTTAGATATGGAGTAAAATATGAAATTATACAAATATAAAATCTTTTACATTGCGAACATAGTCAATATCGAAATTCTGCAATCACGAAGTTGAAGATTCCCCCATGAAGCGAGATCCTTCGTACTGCAATTGAGCATTTATTTCCATCTCCGTTTTACTCCGCATGAGATTAAGATAACCCGTGGAAGGAGGATTGCTGGCATCGCCTAGTCAATCATAATTCCCGATCTTTTATTCAATTCCGGCCATTAGCATGCATACACGCGGCATGGAACCGCCGATCCTCATCGGAGATATCGCCATTGGGGGATAGCGGATTGTCCTCGTAAAATCACTGGAATTCTATGTTTATTCAATACGCCGGGATGCCGAGATGCCTCGGAGTATGCCAGCGTGCCGCTTATCTCGCGCGTGCCCGGATAGGATGAGAAAGCGATTTTTGGTACGGGTCTCCGCTGCGAATCGCGCGTGGTTATTGCTCCTTGGACGTCTCGCTCTCCTGGAACCGACGCCATTTTAATCAATACCAAAGGGATTTTGCGCAATATCAGTGGTATCGTCGAATCGTTCTTCTCTGGTTGATGATGATGAATTAAACACAAACTTTTTCAATTAACATTTTAATAACTGCTTTGCGTTACAGTTTTTTCTCATATTTTATATTATACATTGATTCTTTTTATCATTTTTTAACTTTAATTATATTTGATCTTTTTAATTAATTTTTTTTTCAACTTCATATATTTTTATGTTTGTGTAACTTGTTTCCTTTTTTTCCGTATTAGCTTACGTGTTTAAGGCCACTTTGTAAGAACTCGATTCACTCGACGCCCGACGAGATGTTTACCTTGCGCCGCGGTTACAAATGGCGCGAAATTAAGATAAATTCGCGATCGTCCGCCATCGACGTCGTCCACCATTTTCGTGTCGCACGAACATAATAATTCCCGTCGAAAGTATACAGTACTTAATTCGATATCGATATCGATCACGCGCGAGATAGGCTGCCGCAAATTATAACGTTCTGCTGGCTGCCCGGATGCAGCGATCCGCCGATCGTTCGCCAAACTCCAACCTTTGAGAAAAAGGTAAATTATTGCTCGCATGATCATAGCTCTCTTAAAATAATTAACAATAACAAGCGATAACAAAGCAGCCTTTCTGTTCTTATATGGAATAAAATAAATTGAGTTTTGAGGCTATCAAATCGACAGTTCGTGACACTCGACAGTGTTAAGAGTGTCGAGTGAGATTTGCAGATTTTTATAGCGATTATTAACATGATTGAGAGATTAAACTCTCGAGCCGAGTATTAAATCCGCAAAATCGACCCTCTCAAAAGTTCCTTCTTTTTATCTGTAAAATCTACGCCGGCGCGGCGATGTGTGCTCACCGAGAGAGCGATTCTGGAATTACGTAGGTACAAACTCGCGTTAAGAATTGTTACGTTGTTAGATTATGTCTAACAATGATGATTGCCGCTATAATCTCTCGCCGTTACTCGCGTCACGCTCGGCTTGACACCACCACGAACAAAAGGACCGATACAGCTTGCCAAGTGTGCGTGCGCGCGAATTCATCGATTTACATCGGCAAAGTGGCGAGCACGAAAGCGAGTGCCGCGACCGCGCCGGTGCAGCTGCTCGATCGGAGGAGAAGATTGAAGAGGAGTGCACACTTTACTACATGGTTAACTTCATTATCGGAACGCGCGCGTCGGCCGTTACAACTACGGGCCGCATTATTGCTCGGCGGTTAGCGTAACTACTGCATTTGTTTTCGCTGCGAGACATGCACTTACATGATCCCGCCGCGCAGCAACAATAGCGCGCGCCGATTAAGTAATTGCGGGTGTTCAGCCTATGTCGCCGTTATCGTTTACTCTCTCGGCTCTTCTGTTCCTAGGCGTGCAGCGCAGCGCGCCACGGACCTTTAGATCCCTAATCTCCGAGTCATCGAATCCCGGGGACCTCTGTTCGTTCAACCTCTTTCTCGGGTCATTACATTTTCGTTCTTCAGAAGTTTCGCAGCATCAAACTTCTTGACTCCTTGAGATACCTTGGAGAGTGATTTGAATGCTTCAAGTCCGAAAACTTCGATATTGATTTATGAAGCTGGAAATTCCTGGATAACTAACATCCCAGAGATAGCGTCAAGTCATTAAAAATAAATGACTATATATTTATAAAGATAATTTTTATAAAGATTTTTATAAAAGATAACTCTTTTAGTGAGAAAATGTAGTAGACAGAAAGATGGCTAACAAACGATAGATTTTGTTGCTAGAAATCTTAAAGCCTTGTCCATATAAAGACTAAAAAACGACTAATTTTGGACATATTTTAGTCATTTCTAAGATTTTTTTACTTTTAATTATCTTGTTAGAAGTCAGGAAGGTAGAGTGGTAGGAGAAGTCTCGCGGGACACCCCCGCGACATATATGTATATACATATATGTACATTATATGTAAGATATCTATAGCCTGTTATACACATAACCTGTATATAATTATATTTAAGAGATTAGTACACAGCTCCGCGAGATGAGCTTTTCGTAAGAAGAAAACGCCCAGGAATCCTATAAAAAAAATCGAATTGGCGAATTTTCTTTTGGAGATTCCCATACATTTTCGGAATGTGCTTTTTGAGCCTCTAAATGTATTTATATCGTGATCACATTTTATAACGTGTTATAAAATTTTAAAATGCGATGCTATAACTACATATAATAATCTCTTGGCAATAAAACTGGATTGAATTAATTATTGTTTTCAATTTTTACACTACATAATATATAATAATTACATATAATCGTTATATAGGTATATAATTATTATGTTTGATTTAGAACTATATTATTTTTATATCAAGTAACATGATTACATAATAAATAATTGTTTTACCTATTGTGTAAACATCTGTATTTATATAGAAATTTTATGTTTTTTGGGTTGGTTTATCTCTTTCTGAATATGAACATATTCTTCTTTTCAGGTTGCGACGGAGAATCGGATGAGGGCGGCAACAAGAGGCGAAGAAGCAGGACTAACTTTAACAGTTGGCAGTTGGAAGAATTGGAGCGAGCCTTCCTGTCGAGTCATTATCCTGATGTCTTTATGCGAGAAGCACTGGCTGTGAGACTCGAACTAAAAGAGAGCCGCGTGGCAGTAAGTTTTTTTTACTTATTTTGTTGTACATATCGCCGCATTCTTCAATTATATGTAAAGGAAATCAAAATAAGGAAGCTGACATTAGGAGCCTTTGATTCATAAATAAATGAAAAGTATATATAAGTTAATTAGAAAATCTTAGACATTTCGATTAACCACTACGTTTCAACATTCTATATCGACACGACTAATTTTATTCAATTCAACCGATTTACTTCGAAATGGAGTATGAACGTAATCAACTTAGCTAGATTAAACTTTAACAAGATTTCCAATTTAGTTATAAAAGTGCTTAATATTTTTGTATACGGATGAGAAATAAAATTTCAAAATAATATTGAATTATTTGCGGAATGTAATTCGAATATAATATAAAAAGAAGATAAAAACGGAGGAAGTTAAGGAGATAAGTAAAATGAAGAGATGCTTCGGTGTCGAAGAAGGGAACGGATGTATGCGCTATTTGCGGGGCCTAACATGCGTCTAAGCGAATAAATATAAATATCCGCTTGAAAGACCTAAGGGTAACCGTATGTCCGACCGGCCGTGAAATTGGGAGTTCACCCTTTGCGGTCCTGTCGAAGGATTCGACTGGACTATATTCGACGAACGCAGGCGTGAACTGTCCGAATACCGGAAGAAGGTGGGCCACATCGAAAAGATTTAATGCCATTTCGCGGAGCCTTAATGACATGTGTCTACACATTGCGATTATAGATTCTTATAAAAGATCTGTGATAAGATTTTATTTTACATACGTTATCCACTTTTATCCTATGTTATTATACCAAGATTTTATTTCCGTGAAAAATTAATCGTGCGTTTAGAATTTGTTAATTTGTTAGTGTTGCACATTTATAATCAAAATGTGCTTTTTTATGTTAAATACTATAAAGACCATTTTAGACGATATCGCGTTATATTTCTGGGTAGAATTCTGTTTGTTTCATATGTTGCATACTTTTTACATATTGCGCTCTTTTAAATTTTAAAAATAACACAACTCAAGAAACGTGAGTTTTGTGTATTATCATGAATGAGTTAAGTAAATATTATCTTATCAATCATCTAAAGTTTATTAATTTATTGTTATAAAAAAGTCATTAAAAAATGGTAATTTAAAAAGATCATTATGATTAAAAAAGGCTGATAACAAAGATGGTTTAAAAATGATTAAAATTGTCGCAATTTAAAAAATGGTTTTTAAATATTGTGAGACGAAAATGACAAAAAACACATTTCATCATGTTAAGAATATATTTTTTTACCGATATCATTTGATTAGTCAATAAGTCAAGTTGAAAAATAGTTTTTTCTTTTTTCTGCAAAGTTTATTTTTTTTTAGTTGTATCACTTTTGAAATAAACGTACATATACGAGTAGTACGTATTAATTAATTTATATATATTCTGATTCTTTCCTGCGTTATATGGCACATAAATTTATAAATAGAGCTTTATCTCGAATTCTGATAGGAATTATAAACCTTCTGAAGTGGACTTAAGTTTTTGAAAACACAAACCTTAAACATTTGTTAAATAATTAAAAAAGTAAAAAGAAGGAAATTTATTCTTACGAAAACATTATTGAAGAACAATGACATCCCTACTGAAAAAAATCACGTCATATAGTTGGATGACGTATGCAATTGAAACATGTAAATCCTAACGGATTGTTTCAAATCAGTATGTGATTTTAAAATTACGTATTTTGAAAAATCACATGATGATAATATGTTCTTTCTTCTTCTATTTCTATCTTTTTCTATTTCAATTTTTTAAAATTTGATAACTATACATCACATATAACATCACATAATGAATGAAATTATTTATAATATCATGTGATTTTTCAAATTACATCATTTTAAAAAATCACATATTGATTTGGGACAATCCGTTACCTGATTTACTTGTTTTAATTACACGATTTCATCATGTAACGTTGTGACATGATTTTTTTCAGCAGAGATCCTATCGACGCTGATGTTATTTAAATGGACAATCGCTGAACGGATAAATCCGCGTCGATTTTGTACCCTTGAGTAGATCTCCGAAGGTAACGGACCAGATGGACTAACTACCCCCTCGAGACGAAGCTGGTAGGCCAAAGGCCGAACCGAAGCCAGAACTAACCCCCGGTTGTCTGTCGACCCTCGAAAATCTGATCCTGAAGTCATTTTAAATTCGTGTCTATCGCCTCGTCGATCTTTGATAGTACACTGAATAAATCTGCGTGAATATGCCATGAGTCGGACCAAATTCGAAGCGATTCAAAGTTTGAGATTAATGTTCTAATGTGTGCGTCGGAGCAAAAAGTGGCAAACAGTATATGTAAGAACGTAAAAGTTCTTCTTCATGACTTTCGTTCTACTTCTGCCTTTCGTTCTACTGCTTCTCTCTATATCTATATTTTATCTCATTATTCATGAATCTTAGATTTTTTTTCATTTTTTTATGTTATGTCTTCTTATTTAGTTTTCATTTCTCTGGTCAGGTTTTGTAGTAATTATATATTGCCAATAAAATCTACTAATTAATGGACTCTCAGAATTCAAACAATGAATTATAACTATAGCAAGAGTGTGAGAGTAAATAGGTATCGCAGTAATCAATCTGCTATGATTAAAAATATGAAGTATTTAAAATTTATTATTACACGTATGACGCAAAAATCGATCGGATGTTTCGGTTAATTTTCAGCTATTATTAGCCATATCGTACTAACAAAAAAGAAATCGTTTAAACACTCATACTCAAATTAGAATAAATTTTTTAAATATAATTAATGTCTCTTCTAAATCCGTATTTGAATGGTGCGACCATTTATTACGATTTTGAACTGCGATGAGTTAAAGTGAGACAGGTATGAAATAAACTATATTTGTCTCATTTCAATTTATTACACCAGTGTACACCAGTTCAGAACTTGGAGTGGAAAAAACAAACCTCATGTATTATAGTTCTTAGACTGAATAAACGCATCAACATGCGATCGAAAATAAACACATGAAAAAAAATCGATTATTTTTGGCTCGTATGTCACCTGTCACCTGATACGGTCTACAATGGCAGTAGTGGATGAGAGTGTAAGAGTAAGAAATTGACCAATCACAGTCGATTATTCTTCTCACATTCGACTGTGATTAGTCAATTTCTTACTCTGACAGTCTCATCCACTACTGCTCTATACATAGATCGCGCATGAGATTAAAGTTTGCCTGATATAAAAGTTTTACAGTTCATATGAGTAGTACTCAGCAGACCCAAAATTATTAGAACATACGATATTGAGTTGTAAAACTAAAATTGAAAGCTTTAGAAAATAATTTATAATATTTGGAGTTTGAAGTAATTCACGTGAATACTTAGCAAAGATTTAGAATACAGAGCTGTAATTGTCTTCAGTGAGTGTTTGATTTTGGAAGAGAATGGCGGAAGAGATGGCGCTGTAATATGTCAGATAGGGACAAATGTACGCATTTGAGTGAGACAGAACGAATGTAAAAAAATTAAATAGTTAAAAAATCTGTATTAAATTCGGTTGTTGTTCCAGCATCTCCTTAACATATCATGAATATTAATTTAATGAAAGAATATGCTGTAATAGTTTGCTTACAAATTGTGTCAGTGATTGTTACATATTTTGTGTTATTTTTTTTTACATATAATATTTGATTATTTGCTAACATATTCATCTTATGTTAAATTAACACAAAAATTTGAATAGACTGTTTAGAACAGGTTTAAGTTAATGTTAAACTTAACACAAATTGCGTAAAATCTCAAGTTGTATAACGCATTCAAATTATTGTTATTATTAATAGTTTTTTTGATGAAATATATTTGCGAGAGTGTTCATAGATTTGAATGCGGATCAATAAACCTTGATCGATTGTCGATCGCATTTATCTAGTTGTTGCGATATTCTGGAGAAGATGCGTCTGCAGTAGGACGTTCACAGGGGTTATCATACACAGTGATCGATGTTATCTAATCTGAGAGTTATTCCCTGTCGTGGGGAAGCACCATCGAAAGGACGCACCGGCTGTGTGACATCATGTCACATTGTGTCACCGCTCGGCCGGGTTATCGTCTCCGTCATCGTGCCGCTCCAGCAAAATCTGATCCAATCCCTCGTCCATGATCGAAGGAGAGATCCGAGAAGCACTCCGGGATCAATATTTCCCGACGCGGGTATTACGATCTCGCGTTATCACGGCGTGGTCCCCGTTTCGCGTTTATTACGCCCGCGAAATTCGTATGCGCGAGACCGGTCGTAAATAACATCGGGGACACCATGCGTTTTGATTTATCGTGAAAGAGCTCGTGAGCACGACAATCGCTATTATCAAGGCGCTATTTGCATCCACGACGAGCTCTCGCAGCTCGATCCACGGCTGGTGAAACGGCGAGCTTGTAAAATGTTGAACCGATCGTATTTGTCATGGGTATATCCAGAGGGAGAGTTTGAGAGATTCGAATTCTCTCGAAATTTTTTTATTTATTTTTTAATTTTTAATTATAAAAAAATACAACTTTACTTTTGATTCTCCTTATAGAGATTTTTTTAGTTTTGAAAGAAAACGATTAATTATTTATTCTGAGAAAGGCATTGTTATTTAGTACGTACAATATTCAAAATAAATAATTTCTAGTATTAAATTAGAGCCAGTATCAAATTAGATTTCTGTAAAAGTTTTCTTTATCTTATTTATCATTCCTCCTTTTCTTTTTATTTAATTTTAGAATATCGCCACTATGTTATCTCTCTACAGAAGAACTGTGTTTACTACTGAGTTTACTACTTTTATATGGGAATTCGAATCTGCACACTGTACAGCACATAGAACAATTTTGCAAACACGGTCGATATGTAATATATATAAAAATAATAGGAATAAATTGGATAACTGAGAGTCAAACGCGGTAATTGGAGCACAATTTGTTTATTATATGCATTGTTTATTCTGTGTAAAAATGTCCTCACATAAAAATTTTGACGGATGACTATAGTTACCCTTACAATGAACTTGCTTAGCAATTATAGTCTCTTAAATATGTAGCGAGTGTTCGGCGTTTAGATGACTATTCGTAGTTATCCTTAATAGCAAAAGGAATAATAATACTTGGTAATGTTTTTCATACAGGAGGTCCTTCTATGTATTTTCTCAATTAAAAAAAATTTCTTTTTCATAGGAAAATTATCATGAATATTTTATATGTAATAATGATAATATTTACTTTCGAAAGATCATTATATCTTTTAAGTTTATATGAATTTAGTAATTTTTACATATAGAAAATTATGGATAAATGGGATAAAATGGGAAATTTCCTTTTCATTTTATAAGTTTGTCATGTATTAAAAAAAAATTTAAGAAAATTTTGGACTTTCTAGTATAAAAGCTTAAAGTTTTCCCTATAAAATATTATAGTTTTTTTTTTAATATTCCTGAGATTTTTTGTTACTGATTGTGAGTTATTGCAGATTAAATGAAAGAAGTACTTTTATTGTTTATAACTCCATTAAAAATAATCGTACTGTAATTAAAAAATAGAGTTAAAAGCTTTGTTCTATCGAATGATATAATTGCCAAATTTTTTTAAAGACATGTATACATGAAATGAATGATCTTTTTTGTGCTAACGCCGTTTTTTTCCATTCAAGATTAGGAATGAGAAGAAGATATTGTAAGCTTGAAAAAAATATTTGAAAAACATTTCATTAGCGTAAAGATTTCTGTTTATGTAATACAACAGAATAAGAACTCCCCTCGAAGAAAGTTCTGGATACGTCCATCATGTCTGCTAACCATGTGATTATTCTACGATTTTATATGTATATTACGAGTTATTGTTTATAGATTGTTATTATATATAGATTTGCGATTAGCAGTGGAGCTTAGTTTATAAAATCGTTTTTTTTTTAATAGAGAGAGAGAGATAATGCAATTAATTAGAGAATATTTGAAACAATGTGATACAATTATTTGACTTCTTTCTGCACATATTTACTTCTTGCATTTTTCTAACTCATTTTGTATAAAGTACCAACCATTTAAGTGCTTCCCATTATGATAAGAACAAGAAGTCCATAAAGCGAAGGGTTAATTACAGTATACAACAATTTAATCGGTCAAATGACAGCGTTTTATCGGCGTGGTGTAGAAAACATCGTTTATTAATTGACGGAAACATAATTACATTAGAATGCATTATCTTTCCCGACAAACTTCATATGAACGATTATGGTTATCGGCGACGACGTCGCTTCTTCGAGTTTTTGCTGCCATAAAGATACGCTTTATGCATGTCAATGCATGTTGTGTGCTTACAATGTAAGTATCTCCTCACATGCTGCACAAGAGAAGAAAAACTGTTTTAGTCTGACGAAACATGAGATCAGTCTCTCTTAGGATAGAAATAACTTGTTAAATCGCTATCGGTCGTTGATAATTCCTGACGAATAGCCGCACTAATGCCTGACTCGTATTTCCCACGTATCGTGTTAATGTAATGTGTTACAGCTGTGCCTGATTCTGAACTGAGACAGGCAGGACGCCTCGTGAAGTTTGCGGTTAAGATTTTGGAGCGATTCCTCAACGAATTCGGGAACGATCTTTTCTATCAGCGGGAAATTTATTGAACGCCATTTCCATCTATAATTTTAGAATTTTCAATATTGAATCTGTTTTTGAAAAGTTTTTTGCTTTTGATTGTGTTTTCAAAATAAAATCTATGGTATTCTTTTTTATTAAATTTTTCTCTTCTAATTGGAAGTAAAGTTACGATGGTTTAATAAAAAAATTTCTTTGATACTCGATGGTATCATGGATTACCATTTTTCTGCAGATTATGGTATTAAATAATGAAATAAGTAATGAAAATTAGGGCTGCCAGCTTAGAGTTATCGACATAAAATGCAACGACACTCAGATATTATCGGACTGAAAATTATTTTATTAGCTGTAGTAGGAATTTAACCCTGTAAGAATCGTGCAGCTGAGCTATGTCGATTAGATGTATGCACCGCCAAAGATCCTTTACGTTGATTTTTAAGGATATTAAAAAAAAGTGTTAATTTTTTAGAATATATATATTTATATAATAATAATTAAATTTTATTTTATTTGTATATGTATAGGATGAGTCATAAGTATGTTTTAAAACTTCATGAGAGTGTTCCTGGATAAAAAGGAAGAACAAATATTCCTATTAATATTAGAATATTAGAATATTAGATCGTAAATGCTTTGTTGTTGAAACAATAGACACAAATATTTAGTATAAGTACTTATGACCCACCTTATCACATATCTGTCAAAACAAGTAAATAATAAAACATAAATATTTAAAAAATATTTACAAAATAATTTGAAGAATATGATTTAAGCTTAACACATCTCGAATACAGAAATCGACAACACGTAGATCAAATTTTTAAATATTACTTATTTTTTTAAGATTAAACACAGACTCGCGCTGAAAATCATAAAGCTAGAAAATTAAATAGCGTAAGCGCGTGCGATGGATTCTAAATAGACCCGTCGAAGTAATCGAATTAATTACGATCGCCTGAAGTTTAATCGCGAATAACGAGGACTCGCGGATAGCGACGGGAAGTAGAGACAAACGAGCGCTTTGGGCTCGTTTGGGGGTTCGTAAAGTATCTCGGAGTCGAAGAAAGTTTCGTAAAGCTACGTGACGCGAGAAAGGTGTTTCAGGGAGCCGCGAGGGGATCTATTGATCTTCGGCTCGCGTGAGTTCAGCGCCGCTCGCCGGCAGGGCGGTACAACTAATGTCTTCATCTTTCCCCTCACAGCCACCCCCTCGCCACCTCTCTCCCGCCCTGCGAGAGAGAGAGAGAGAGAGAGAGAGAGAGAGAGAGAAAGCTAGCCCCTCGCTACCCTTCGGTCGCGTCGTGGCTCACGCTAACCCTAAATCGTCGTTCATGCCACGAGCGTTCACGCGAGCAAAGGGTTGTCGTCCTCAATGAATCAGGACACCCGAGAGGGTCGTTGGTCCTTCGTTCTGAGACAGGAGCCTTCCTGTAATTTCGGAACTTAATGCATCCGCCCTTCGTGTCGCTTCTGATAGTGCCTTGGCGAAGGCGGTGCTGTGATTTAAGCAACTCGCAGAGAAATTTCGCGTGGAACGTGGAGGGCGATAGAAGGAAAGATCCGGGGGGGAAGGAATCCGTAAATTTACGCGACACCGCAAACGCCCGTTACAATTCAAGACCTACAGGGAACAACGCTTAGCTTTCATCGGTGTCAATTGACGCGAACTTGTGGCCGATTTAATCTTCTTTCAGTAGAAGTAGATAGACAATGAGTGGAATCGTGGTCAAAACTGACCAACGTTGGCAAGATTAGAGAAAGCTCGTCCCTCGAGTCACTTTCCTCATAAAGAGACTTAATTTTTAATAAACAGTTATTGACATATTATAAATATGAATTGAATATTGCAATCTTGGTTTGGGAGTATCTTGGTTTTTCATTTTAAATTGTTTATAATATTTTAGGATACCTAATATCATTATTATAATGATATTAAGTACTTCCTAATAATTGATAATTAATTTAATTATTATTTCAGTTTCAGTTTATGATTGTATTTCAAATTTCAAATTTAACTGATAGTAATCAGTGCGCGGTTTAAATAACTGGAAGATATAAGAATACACTGTGTGTATTTTGTATTTACACGTAAATATTATTAGACCTCAAGATCTAGTCTTGACTGTATTTGGCTTTCTTTATTTATTTGAATTTTTTTAACTCTAGTCGACCAATTGTCATTGCAGGTATGGTTCCAAAATCGAAGGGCAAAGTGGCGGAAGAAAGAACATACGAAGAAGGGCCCTGGTAGGCCGGCGCATAATGCTCATCCGCAAAGCTGCAGTGGCGAACCAATCCCACCCGAGGAACTAAGACGGAAAGAGCGTGAAAGGCGACAGAAGAAGTTGCTGAAAGCTCTCGAGAGACAACAGCGGAAGCTCGCTGCGAAAGTAAGCCCCAAACTTAAATATTCTCTCTCAATCTAAAAATTTTAAAATGCTTATGTTACCGTATATTAATACCTTCTCATCAACACATTAATTTTTTTTTAAAGAAAAAGAATTTTTGACTTTGCTTATCAAAATAATTATACTTCATGATTACCGAAACTGTATATTTTTTAAGGGGATACTGGAATGACGATAACGGCTTTACAGATTGGGAAATTTTTTTACAGAATTAAAATACATATAAATAGAAAGTCCGAGTATGTCGATTTTACAGGAAAATCGCATAAAAAATGAAAAAATTCACTTTTGGCTCGTATTCCAGAAAGCACAAAGTCATTTAAAAGACTAAAAAATAACTATATGTTATAAATATATCTTTTGAGAGAATATACAGTCGATGAAAAGGTGACTAAAAGGCGACAGATGTAATAACATGTAATTTTACAGTAAAAATGATTATGCATTACATATAAATTTCAGAAACGCTTTTACAATGCACTTTTACCTTCTGTAACGTAAACATTTATTGTTTCTATATGTATTTATAATATCACTGTACATACGCATTTAGCACAAACTAATCAAACCACATTTTGATATAATGGCTTTATTTCTAAATGCCGATTGTATCTACGCAAGTTATATAATTAAACAGTAGTTTTGTAACATGGGTTTCTTCATTTTCTTAACTTCAGGGCATAACAGTGGATTTATCGACATTGCGTGCCGAGTGGGAATCTCGTAGCGAGGCGACATCGGGTCGTAGTTCTGCGAGCGGTCCTTTGAGCAATTCGTTCGGCCAACTGGGTCTGAGCAATGACAGTAATAACATATCCGCGTCCGGTAACGACGCTAACGAAGAGATCGACGTGGTCGGTGGATTGGATTCCTGTAGCGAGAGCGACAGTGAGCGGGTGGACTCGGCGGCCGACGGCTCCGTGGACGGCGAATGTTTCCCGGCGCTCAACAGTAACGCGAGCGAGATCAGTGAGCCTCGGAAAAACCCTCCGCAGAATCCGCCGATGGAGCACCTGAACCACCAACCCGGTATCCACCACTGGGGCTTAAGCTTGCTAGAACGACGACGCGAGCTGGTGGGAATCGGAGCTGGACGTCCACCGACTGGTAATGGCGCTAGGAATCTAATCAGACAGGTCGCTAGTGAGGAAGAAGTCCAAAGCGGCAGCATCGATCTCTCGGTAAAGGGTAGGGAGGAGAGAAAGAGGCTGAATCCGTTCTCCATCGATAGTCTATTGGGGAACAATCGGACTAGTGCGGCATCGGATCGTAGGCCGGCAACGCCGACGTCGCCGACCTCTCCCATTTCATCAGCTTGCACATCGCCATCTACGACGTAGTGAATAGGAGCGTGGAGAGATGCCGAGGTGCGTCAGATTAAAAATTGACGAGCAGAAGAACGCGATCAAAGAGATGAGGTAACTCCTCGTCGAGATTACCAGTGACGGTGAAGTGACCATGTCGGATGAATGAAGACTGAAGCGTGCAAAGCGGAACTGGTACTCCTGGTCATGAAATTGCGTGGAAGAATCAGCTACGGTAACATTCCCATTTCTACCAGAGTTCGCTTTGATTGAAATCGCTAGGTTTATGAATAATCCTCGCGTACTTATAAACATTCTCACGTCCATCGATGAACGCGCGTCTAGATTCTTGATATCCTGAGATCTCTGAGAGTATGCATATGAATTTAAAGTCGAAGATAATCGAAGAAAGGAAGAAAAAATTTAAGTATAGGCAAATTGAGTATTAAAGGGATGGAAAATTCAGGTTACAGTCGATCACAAGTACATGTAGATCGCAATAAATTACGCATATAATTCTCTTTGGATCTAGAAGGATTTTAGGATCTAAATTTCGTGCTATCGGTATGGACCGGCAAGACTTATATCAGTTCGACATATCGAATGCATGCGTGACCGTTGTAGATCGAGTGCGTTTGATTTTGTCCATTGTGTCTCCTTTCAAAGAACAAATGGAAAAATGTGCAATAAACGCGGACTTTGCTCGCTAGGCGGCTTGTCCGTTTTGATGTAAGGCAAAAGCGAGAAAGAGAAAGAAAGCGAAAAATAGAATGTGCATGTGTGGGAATAAAAGAGAAAAAGAGAGAAAGAGAATTAGAGAGTGAAAATGAGTGTGTGTGTGTATATGTGTTGTGTGTTTGTGAGTGTGTTTGTGCATATACGCGTGTATTTAATGTAAATAGTGCGAAGGAGGTCCGTTTTATTTAATTTTTCAGTAGTCGATACTACCCCAGTGTTCGTCGATCGCGGATATTATTTAAAGCAATAGGGCGGGGGTTCTCAACTTATTATACACTTGCGATCGGTTCGATAAAAATTACCAGAGCAAGCACTCGTTAATGCTTAGAGTTCTAGATAATCAGAGAGGCGACATTGAAGGGATAACCTGATGTCTATCTAAAGAGTATGATTTAATTGATAATCATAGTAAGAAAACAATATTCCAATAAGCAAGAAACAAATTGGAACATCGCAGCAACATTGCAGTGACGTTGTAATGTTGCTGTAATGTTGCTGGAATATTCCAAAATATTTCTTGTTTATTAGGATGGTCATCACTTTGATCATATAATTTAGTTAACCAATCAATATCCATATTGGAACAAAAGGGCCAAGACAACCTAATTTAATTAACTCAACCTGTCACCCTCTAATAATTTACAACTCTAATTAATACGAGTTAAATTCTTATAGGGGAGATAGACTGGTCAAATCGAATAACTTTTTTCAACGTTTTATTTGTAGTAACGCAGTTACAAAAATCAATGATATCGATTAATTTGACAAAGAGATTAAAATAAATGACGATAAAACGAAGATAAAACACTATTGAGGACCTCTGCGATAGGAATTTGTTTGACGTTGTATATAAACTTTAAAGAACCCCTAAACGAGCGTGAGTACGTCACAGTTCAAAGATTTGTTCTCCCATCCCTGTAAGCAAGGTTGATCTACAAGCTCGGTTTATAGTTAGGGGTGATTAAGAGTTGCCATACGATGATCCGGGATATGCGAAAAATCAGTACCTATCATATATCCATTAAAAATATATTAATTTATTCTCCCGACTATGCTGGCGTTTAGTCATTGCATCCCTTCACACGTCATCCTATCCTCGTTCCTTTTTATTTGAAGAAAGCAACGTGACAGGATACGAAACGGCCAAGGCAGCGTAAGTATAAAACTAAATTAATTTGAGCTTATTATTAAGAACTTTTCTCATTGAAAAATATCTTCTTACAAAACATATTTCTTCAAGTCTTTTAATTGAATGGAATAATTTATGACAAATCAATCAATTCAGTTAAACTGATTTAACCCAATAAATTAGAATATTAATATAATTAGTATCAAATTAGATCAAATCTTATTAACACTTTTGCTCTGATCGTTGAAATTTATTATTAGTTGGAAATTAAAACGACAAGATATGACACATCCAATTTTCACTAGGCAAAAGTCAATTCCAAGTTTACCGAAGAATAAATCGCATTTGCAGCACGGATATTTATGTAAATTCACACGAACACGATTTATACTCGCCACAAGTTCGGGACGATTTCGTTGAAAGTCGAGAGCTTTTGTTCGTTTAACGTCGATGCGAGGGGAAAGAGACCGGTGGAATAATAACGATGTACGACAATGTGGCCGCTGTCGGCGTCGCGTGGCGAACAATGAGCCGCGCATAAATCATAGACATAGCGTAACATCGCTTCCGCTGTCATATTGCAATTGCAACGCTATTTATATTCGGCGCTGTTAAAAATATCGCAACCGCCAATTTCTAAGCCTTTCTGAACGAACTTTCCAAATATTTTCAATGAGATCTCACACAATCAGTTATACAGCTCGCTTAAATTTTAAATTTTGTATTTCTGCGAAAAATTAAAAAGATAAAGACATGGATTAATGTTGTTAATTAATTATCATAAACTATAAATTTATGACGATCCAAAAATGTTTTTTTTTTAATTTTTAAATATATTATGTAGCCAGTAAGTGTATAATAATAATAATTTGAAACATCAAGAATCAATTTCCTTGATTCTTAGAAAAGAATATGCGAGAAAATATTTATCAAATATTTATCAAATAATTCATTTGTTTAAGTAAACTCGCGATTGGAGAGAACGATCGTTACTTCAAAGTGGCATTTCCACTTTAGCGAAAAGAAATCGACGGCCGTTACGAAAACGATGAAAAAGAAAGTAAGAAAGGAAGGAGGGATGATGTAGTATATGATAATATGCGTCGCGCGAAGACAATAATGCGCGTCGCCGCTCGCGATTTATGTTACGAGCATTTACGCGAGCGCGCGCTCGCAAGCGCTCGCAAGCAACCGGACGTCTCCACAAAGAGCCATTGTGCGAATGCGATGTGGCGCGGTTAATATTATTAGCCGTCCGCGAGGAGCAGCGCTTAAACGGCCGATGCTTTCTGCCATCGCCCTCGCCTGAGGACTCTATTACCGGCCAATCCTCGCGGCACAGCGACTGCCTCCTTTTCCTCGTTTACCGGCCCATTGTCGCCGAGCACGAACGGCATTACGTGCCCCCTTCGGTCTAGTGGAGCCCTAAGCGGCGCTTCCCGATTGTCGATGATGATCGTAATATCCCAGAACATCCACAGGAAAAACGCGATCCAACATTCCATTACTGTTAGCTGTGTGTGTGTGAAACTAAATCAAAGAAACTAAAAAATTTTTAATCTATATTTCTTACAAAGGAACTAGATTTTTTAGAAAGAATTCACATTTCTTACAAAAGATCTAAATTTCTCATATTCCTTAATAAATATGCTGTTGAATGTTATGGGTTTAATCTTCCTATTTAATCTTCGAATTTTATTTTAGCTTAAAAATTTTGTGCTCTATCCCTAAATCTTATAGAATAAAAATAATTATTATATAACCGGTTAAACGGAGTATCCACAAGAGAGAAAAAAATTAATTTTGGAAAAGAAGAAAAAGAATTGGAGGTAAAAATTATAAAAAGATTTTCTGAAGATCAAAGATAACCAGTATTACAAATTTAAGCGTTTTCAGTTTGAAAAATCAATTTTCAATTTTAAAAGAAAAGAAAAATAAATTATTAAATTAAATATAAAGGATTTTGTGATTTTTTTTACCTGCTAATAATCAATTAAAAATAATAATATAAAATAAAACAAATCCAATAATCCATATCACTCGATTACTGTCTCGAATTCAAACTCTAATTTGGCCTCACCCTTCTTAAATAAAATTCTGGCTACGCCTTTATATATATATATTTTATGCATTAGCTAAACTTTTCTGTTTAGAACCCAGGGCGATTTTCAAATTTGAAATTTTTAATGTGAATATAGGAACTCTTGTTTTTTGGCGTAATCCAATGGTACAATTGTGTTTGTTTCTTATGTACACATTCCGATTTTGTAAAAAATGTAATGATTCATTCGTGTCATTATATAGATTTCTCTAACCGTAAACCGTGACAAATTGCATTGATAATTGTAACAAAGTTATTTAAACTCGTTTAACTTTGCTTGCTAGTCTATGCGAGAATTTTAGGCGTTCGTGTTTACTTTTTATATATGTACATATAATGTACATATACATGACAAGCATTCTATAATATTATAAATCATATTTTTGCATTTATTCTGAAATTTAATTCTTTAATATAAATTGAGACTTGTATATTATTAGGTGTTGGAATTAATTCGTAGCGTTTTTTAATGAAAGAATGTTATTTATTTCACATGAGCATTAAAAAATAATATAAATATTAATGAAAGTACTTCCCATCACTTGTAAAACGCTACGAATTAATTCCAACACCTAATATATATAATGTAGAATAGATAGTTTAACAGTGAATCAGTAATACATTATGAACCATTGCGATATTTCGTAAATGTGACGTTATCAGATTGTGCTGTTATCATGCAGCGATTCGTATTTGAATCCCTCTTCGGCTCTTTAGTCGACTGGCAGATCGCGCCAAAGACGGCCATGTAATGTCACATTTTAAGAATTTTGAGTTGCAGTTTTTTTCATAAGTTTTGCGCATTTTGTATGTTTTTGTTGTTATGCTTATCATTTTTTTCATTGTGCAATAGTTTTGTATGCACATTTGACTTTATTATCTGTAAACAATTTTTTCTATTATATTATTTTATCACATTATTTAGGGACTGAGAATTAAATTCAAGAAAGAAATTACATACAGCAATTAATAATCAGAAGTTTTCGTCCTTTTATAAATTATTGGGTCATCTAAAAAGTATCCGCGGTTTTTTGTCACTAGATGTGTGTTGATGGCCATATATTTAGTGACAAAGTACTGCGGATACTTTTTAGATGACCCAATACATCAATATCGTATCAATACGTTTGAATTTAGCCACGCGTTTGATTGATTTTTACAAATAAATCTATTGATTCACTATTGTTAACATTGCTGATTAATCATTCGACAATTAAGAATTATTATAAAGAAGGAAATGTGCGGTAATCACAATCAAATTCCATCGCAATACGGTCACTGATGACAAGCATTTGAACGACAAAAAGAATTTATTAACTTTATGACTATATTAATCACAATAAAATACTACCGATTAATTATTCGACGAGTTGAAATTACTTATGCGCGTTATACACATATTACTCGACATGGAGGCGCGATGTAAACAAGTCAATGGATTAGGTTGATACTGAATACGTTGGTTATTAATAAGAAGAATGAATGAGGGTGCGATTACATGTAGTGCGGTACATGGTACAGAAACTAATTAGGTAACTATAGGAACCGCGCAAACTCTCCTCTTTTACATACAGCGTTGTAAGCAGCACGAGCCAGACAAATTCACATTACTAAGCACTTTTTAATAGAATTAATTGATTTAAATGCAATTATTAAGTAAATCCGTTGAAACAATAAGAGTGTTGATAAAATGTGCATAGAAATAAATTAATATATTTAAAAAATTCATACTAAAGTTTATTTATCACTAATCTGTGCCACTTACCGCGCTACATGTAATAGAAGAGAAAAGAAGCAAGCGGCACGGTTTGCGACGTTTTTATAGTTATCTAATTAATTTCTGTACCGCGTACCGCGCTACATGTAATCGCACCCTAATGTTTTAGATGCTTACTGTGCGGCGTTGTGATCGCGAACACGAACGCACTCAGTACCAACCTAACCCATTGACTTGTTTACATCGAGCTTGTCGAGTAATATATGTGTAACGCGCTCAAGTAATTTCAAAAACTCGTCGAATAATTAATCGGTAGTATTTTATTGTGATTAATACGATAGTAATAAAGTTAGTAAATTTCTCATTTTGTCCTTCAAGTGCTAGTGTAAATCGTGACCGTATTTGCGATGAAATTTGATTTTGTGATTATCACGTGCAATATTTCCTTCTTTGCAGTAATTCTGAGTTGCCGATAATCGGCAGTGATTAATAGCAGTGAGCCACTAGATTCATTTGTAAAAATCAGTCAAGTGCGTGGATAAATCCGTGAACATATTGATACAATTTATAAAAGGACGAATACTTTTGATTATTAATTGCTGTATGCAATTTCTTTCTTGGATTTATATAATTCTCAGTCGTTAAATAATTAATCGGTATTGATTACGAATTGATAATAACGAACTGATAAATTTTTTTGTAAATCGATCAAGTATGCGTGGAACGTTAAGGCCGCAGCACAAACTTTTGCACGACGCATAAGAGAATCAACAAATAATAATTCTTCTTTTCCTCCCACTTCATGGATTGTGTACCCCTTGTACACAATGAACTACTTCTCGATTTTTAAATAATTGAAATTATAGCTAAATTAAAAAAATAACTTAAAAGTTATTGTTTATAATATGTAGTCAACTAAATTCATAAACTATATGCCAAAACTCAGATTTTCAATTCAATAATTGAGATATAAGCCTCTGAAATTTACATGGTTCATTGTTGGACCACTTACCCTATGTATAATATATTTATACATATTATATATTATAATTTTTATTATAATTTATATAATCATTATAATTTTTTTATGTATATAATTTAAA